TAAAATGAAAATTAAAATTACAAAACGCTTAATCAAATATCAAAAAAATATGTATGTGATATATATACCTTTCGAAATAATTTCTATTAATTTTGATACAATATTTTCATCATTCGTGTTTTTAATTTCACAAATGTTTAACGTTTCTCGATTGCCACTTAATACATGTTTTTTTATTTCTACAGGTTTCATCTTTTCATAAGGAACTTTCTCATAACAAAGTTCCCATATTAGCATCCCAAAACTATTTAAAAAGAAATTTTTAAATAAATATATTTTAAAGTATAAAATTGAAAATTTTATTATATAAACTATAATACCTGAATATTTCGCAATTAACGGTGTATTCGTGTTTTACTTGAGAAAAGATGCATTCTATTTTTTCGGGAGACATCCAATTTATAACGCTGTAAAATGCTTCTTCAATGTCTACAGATTGCTCATCTTTTCTACGAGAATAATCAAAATTTGTAAGTTTTGCCTCCATATTTTTAGTAATCTGTTGAGAATTAAAATATAAGTATATAAGTATTTTGATGATTGATAAATAGATTAATTGGATTATAATGGGTATATTACCATCACATTTTCACATCTAACATCATGATGAAAAATATCAACGTTTTTTAAAAAAATAAGACCCTCACAAATGCCCTGCAAAATTTGAACTTTTTTTGGCCATGAAATATTATATGTGCTGTAAAAATCTTTTAAGCTTCCATATTCGGCCCATTCAAAAACCATTAAATCTGCATTTTTGGTGTATGAAATTCCATAAAAATGAATGATGTTTTGAGGATAGCTTAGCTTTGTTAAGATTGATAATTGGTGGAATGGACTACGGCCTTTTTTACATGGTTTACATGCTACATCAATATTTTTTTTGTATAACTTTTTAAAAACGGAACTACTGGAGTTTTTTTTTCCTATAATGGCAGGATCACTTAAGTCATCAGGATCAATGACAGTCAATGATTGGTTATGATTACAAGATGATTCCTGAATAGTTATATTGTCAGTACTCTTTTTGTTATTTTTAAGAAACTAAAAAAAAAAAATTGAAAATTAGTGTAAGTATTACATAAGTCGTATCGGCGGATTTGCACAGTCTAATAAATATAAGAACCCATCAGTTATAATTCCAGTAGAAAATTGACCAGAACTGGAGTAAAATAATTTAAATTTTGGCAAAATGATCGACAATTTTGACCAGAATTGTAACTGATGGGTTTCTATATTTATTAGACTGCGCAGATCCCGACAAATTACATAATATTATATATACTTTATCAAGATTTTCAAATTGTTTTATAACTATCTTCATATCGATCATGTGCTGAACTGCGTTTGTTATTGTTATGGTAGTATTCAAATCACCCATGTAACTATCATATTCTTTCATTAACTTATCAAACTTTTTTCTCGCATAATTAGCATTCCAATATTTTTTAATTCCCTTAAATTTGGTTACTTCTTCTGCAAAACTCTTGGCCTGATTTAACGTATTTTTGAACCTCTGAGTGGCAAGATAGAAATTTTTTTCTGAAAAAGCTGGGTTACTTTCACTTTTAGAAAGTATTTGACAGGTATATTCGGTACATTTTGTGTTTTCATAAATTTCAACCTTTTCTTGAACAATAATCTTAGTGATAGCTTCATGTTCTTCACTTCTAGATAATATATCTAAGAAACATTCCGCAGTCTTAGTTCGGTCAATTAATGCTTTGGCAATATATTGGTTGCATTGTGCATTTTCATAAATGGTCGTTAAGTCTTGAGCTATAACCTTGGTGAGTGCAACTAGACCAATAGTAGGTGCAAGTGCCATTGTTACTGTTTATGTTTCTGATAATGAGTCGGTTTATTTACTACGTGAAGGCTTAAAAATTCTGTATTTATGCATTTTCGCAGAATATTATTAATTACTGAATTTAGAAATTCGAATAACGGAAAATCGGAGTTTTAAAAAATAATTACGTATTACGCGTATCACGTACGTACGTACGTATGAATTCTGCGCCGAGTTTGTGGCGCTGATTTGCAGATAGCAAAATTCTTTAATGTTCATCAGATGTTAGAGTTTATTAGGATTAATATTAGCAAATTATATAGTAAAATCGCTCAATAAAAACTTTTAATTATAGCATTAAAGGTGATTTTTTATGCAGATTTTTGAGAAATAACCGATTTTTGACAAAACAAACGTTCTCTAACCGTGTTACGTTACGCCTGGCGCAGAGTTATTACGTGTCATATTAATGTAACCAATGTAATAAGATGTAACTTAATTTCCGGTTTTAACTATGGGTCGTAACTATACTAGATACAAATTTATAAATTTGTTAATTTGTAAAAAATTTAATCGGACTTTCTAACCGTTGCCACTGATCGGTTTGTGACAGAACTAGACGATGAAAATTAAATAATACATAATCCTTAACAGAATAATGGCGGATTATGAGTCATTGTGACTCATTGCTACTTTAAAAAAAAAGAAAAGGAACAAAGGAAAACAAATCCAAAACAAAAAAGGACAAGAAAAGCAAAAATAGAAGAAAAGAAACCAAAAAAATTAGATCATAGTTCAAATATGTGTCACGATTCTTAGTATTGGTAGTAATAATATTATTTCGATTCTTTGTTATCATGACCGGTTTTAAATCCGAAGCAAGGTAAAATAAGTACGAATTTAAATTTTCACTGTACCGGATTAAATTTAGAAAATTGTGACAATCAGTATTCCAATCGTTTCATAATATTTTGAACGCGCGTAACATAAATAGTATTTTGTGCCAAAAATGATATAATATTAAGTTACGTATCAGTCACACGATCGAAAAACATTTGCACGCACAAAATTTTGTTTGGGACGAAGCCAGCCGGAATAGAACTGGAGATAATTTTATTAGGAATAGACGTAGTAACAGATGTGAAGAATAATAGGAACTGAAACAATGATTTGACCCGAAAGTTAGCAATGGTAATTGCGCTGGGAATCACTGTAAC